TTCTTTTGAGAGACATTATATACATTGATGTTAAATACAAAGACTGTAAAGTTGACCATTTATTAATGCAAAATAATATATTTTTATTTATTGATGCTAATTTTCCTCTAGCAGTATATGCAGTCTTGTAATCACTCCATCTGGAATGGACAATTTGATAATTCAGTAATAATACATTTTCGATGTTGTACATGAACTAGGTGCTGTGTGAACCATGTATTTCATAAAATAGAGTGCAAAGTATGATCAGTATGGTGTATTTGTCAGTGCAAAAAACCCTTGTCTGTACATGTGCAATACAATCTGTCTGTACAATATATTCATACACTTCATATTTGTGATTAAGTATTTATCTGTATAATAAAATTGTAAGTTTGTCAGATTGTGAGAGTAAATGTTCTCAAAAAGTTTCAGTGCTCACATTATTGTTTGTTTCTCTAGAACCAAATACTTTCTAATGCTTCTATCCAGGAACACAATTTGCAAACACTGAGACATTTATATTTATGCATGCATATATTATTCAGTTATATTTATGCAGAGTGAGTAATTTCAGGTGATGCTAACATATGCTATATCTGACATACTTTCTTGTTTCCCTGTTTTCCGTAAGTGCGAGATAGGAAAATATCTTCCATATGAAAAAACAATGTAAACCTCAAAATACCGTAAAAATACAAGTGATAAAACAGAAATGAATACAACTATTCAGGGCCGGATTTTCCTATAGGCTGACAAAGCTTCAGCCTAGGGTCTCAAGATCAAGAGGGACCTACATTCAAATTGTTAGCAAAATTAAAATTACACTATTGTAAAAACAGTGAACACTAAAACACTGAACCCAAAATAAAGAGAAATTCTATGCATATGATTAATAACATAAAAATGCATTGGTTAAGATCAATGCGGTCGGATCATTGGGTCTGTTCGTTTGTATGTACTAGTTTGGACAAAAGCATAGTTCCCAGATTACTATAGCAAATATTGATGTGCCTCCTGCTATTAAGCTGTGGTTTGTCCTTGCGTAAATAAAGTGCTGATTGGTTAGATTGAAACCAATGAACAGACGTATTGATGTTCCAATGTTGGGTTATATTCGTGTTACTTCTTCAATAATATGAAACACGTGCTAATGTCATTAAAAAAAATTCTTATTTTAGAATTACAATCATTTTATTCTCACCTTTTGAGTTCAGTACATTCAATACTTTTCAAGGAATCTACATGTTTTAGTTTGTGTATTTTAAAATGTATATAAAGTGTTTTATTGCATATAAATTAAATAATAAATTTACGCACCATGCGTGTGTGTGTGAGAGAGAGAGAGAATATGTGAGAGTGAGAGTGTGACAGATCCGGACCAACTTTTGAGGCTGTGGGAGAGAAGACGCACAAATTTGTTAATGTCCAATTGATTCCGGGCACGTCAAGTATCATGGTCATTAGTCCCATAATGCATGTTTTTTGCTCGGAATGTTGCAGTGATTCTTTCCACGCTGTATGGTCAGCTCCGGCGCCGATCTACCGTCGGTTAGCGGGGTTTTCCGCAACCAGATATCTCGCACTAGCGGGGACAGGCTCTCAGCTCCTGAAGAGCCTCCAGGTATGTGTGGAAGTGAAGTACGAGTTTGTGTGTGTGTGTGTGTAACGGGTGAGGATAGGACAAGGAAAAGGAAGGTGAGATCCTGCGCAGTCCGTGGCCCGTTTATTAGGGTACTGCTGCGGCATTCGCCTGGTATTGATCGGAGGAACCACGATAACTCAATCAGAGCTGCCGGCCGCTAGAATTCACCTCCAGACAGCGACTGAAATCGACCTTGCTACCTAGTGTCGAAAATTCTGCCACCGTCGGGACTCGAACCTAGGACATCCCTGTCAGAGGGACTGTAATGATATCTTTCCCTACTCTTTTCACCTCTCTCTTTCGTCATCTATTTTCTCTCTTTCCCCTTTCTTTTCCACTCTTTTCCCCCCTATTATGAAAACAAATTATCTTTATAACTGTAGTTGTAAGAAGACGCCGATTTTTTTTTTTATTTCGCCATTTTCAACGAACATGAGACCTGTACTGTTCTCTCAAATGTCCTATATGCTCTCTCAGGCCAAAACTTTTATAAAAAAATTGGTGCCGATTTTTGAGAAAACATGGCACAGATTTTCTCGCATTAGATGTGTATTATCTTTGGTTTTGACTAGATATTCTTATTTGTCACAAACTCTTGCCGGCTACCATCTTTCGTTGCCGAAAGTACATTTTTTAATTTTTTTTCTCAATGTTTCGGTTTTCGAGTAGTCGAACTGAAATATTACTTTAAGAATATTAAAGAACAATAAAACCTCGTCCTAAATAGCAATATTCATGGAAAAATTTGGGGCCGTTTCTTAGAAACTGATATGCGAGCTTTACTGTAAATGTGAAATTTGAAGCTCTTTTTCACAGAAATTGAGTTTTTGATAAACTTAATTTGAAGTCATTTGAAGCACTTCCACTCACCAGTGAAATAATGTATACAAATCTCTGGAAATCTGCGTATGAAGAGCGTGAGGTATTTAAGAAACTTACATATGAGTATTTTGTGAAAAATCAAAGAATACAGCAAACTTAATTTTATGTACTCTTAAACAGAGCAATTAGCACTATCTATATGGAAAGTTTGATGAAGAAATTTGGAGCCGTTTTTGCGAAAACGGCGTTTAAAGGTTTCTTAAGATGCAGAAATTTGAGCTCGTTTTCACTGAAGAGATTTAAGTTTTTGAGAAACTTTTTAATACAGCATTTAAAAATATGTACTCGCAAATCCAATAGTGTAAAGAAATCGCTGCTAATGTAATGACTTGTGAGGCTAGTCGAAAAATTACTTTTTTGTAATTTATGAAAAAAAAAAAAGAATAGAGTTAAATAGCGATTATCTCATCTCATAGCGAATATGTAACACTATCCACACCAAAAGTCTAAAGAATTTTTTTTGGAGTCGTTTCCGAGAAAATCTTGTTTTATAAAATTGCACATATTTTGCACAATATTGCTCAAAAATACTAAAAATTAAAAAAAAGTCCATGATCTTATTGAAAGAACTAAATATGCAGAACATATTTTACTTGAAAAAAATCTCTATCTTCAATTTTGCAGTTAAAAGAAGACGCGGAAAATAATTCAAACTTTTGCAACTTTCGATAATTCAGTTAACCATGAAAATCGGACCTATGCCACCTTTAGAAGTGTATTTTGATCTATTCTTACCAGAATTTGAAGAAACAAATTTGGAGCCGTTTTTAAGGAAATTTTGAAAATGTTCGGGGGGATTCATGTAAAGAGGTTCAAGTCGGGTTAGATTGACCGGAGAATATTCATTTTGGAAGGAAAAACAACTAGGAATAGTTAAAGCGCTGGTGTTGTTCACAGACGGACGGACGTTTTGAAGTTGTGTTACAACAGCATGTTCTTTCTCGTATTATTTCTATATGCCTCGCTATATTATCTATTGTATAAACCTACAAAAGATTTTTCCACATGCAAAAATGATTTTCCGCGCTGAAGCTCGAACTTGGGTCCTCCGAGTTCTCCTGTACTTTTCAAAAATGCAAATAGCAAGTATCGCCATATTTTTTACCGCAATTAGTTACATATGAGTAGAAAATTTAATGAAAAAGTAAGAAACGATTTTGAGGGGAAAAATAGAATTTGCATCAATTTCAAGTACGAATTACGCGAAATCTACTTGTTTGTTCAAACAATTTTACATGCCCTTTTTAAGCAGCTGATTTTTTTGTAACGGACTTTGTCTAAGACAAAACTTACTCTCTTGAATTTTATTGCTTAAATGTTATCATTTTGCAATTTTCGATAACACAGAGAATTCACCGAAAATGGGTCTAGCACATTTGTTAATGTCCCTTAATACATACGAGGAAAAAATAAAGAAAAAATGGAGCGGTTTTTGAGAAAAAATGTGTAAAAATTTAAAATTGCCTATATTTTGTGCAACATTACACCAAAACGACTCATATTCTCGAAAAATTGAACACGACCTTATTTCAAGGTATCTTTAAAAAAATCATTAAGGAAAACATCTTTATCTTCATTATTGTAATTACATGAAGACGCTAAAAAATTACACTTCTGCAATTTTCAAAAATTAGGAATTTCTACGAACACAAGATCTGCCCCTTCTCTTACGCATCATTTACCACCATTCATCTTAAGCTATCTTAGGACAAAGTTTAATAATAATAATAATAAAAAGCCACTTGTGAAAAAATGTTGAAAAGGTTTTTTTTGTATTCCAGCATTGTAAAAGAATCTTTTCTGTTGCAAGAAATCGTTCATAATCGGACATTTTACGATACAAATAATGACGTATTAGATTTTATTTCACGAATGATTCTGTCATCACACATTCAGACAATCGTAGAGTGAGAATCGGGGGGAGGTAGAGCCGAGCCTGGAATTTGAAACCGAATTTTTAATTTTGGTGGGTACTTAACTTGAAGCCCATGAGTCATTTTCCAGAATAAAATTGGCTCCATTGTTTTTTATTAATTTTTTTGTTGGATAGTGTGAAGGATATTAAAGAAAATGGTAATTGAAAACTGATTTTTCGAAAATTGCAAAAGTTGAAAAGTGTTTCGAAGTCTTCCTACACTTCCTACTACTTCCTTCCCTTTTAAAATATTAAAGACAGATATTTTGGTCTTAATGAAATCTGTTCCTTTAAAGATAGATTTTGAAATAATGTCATGTACAAATTTTCAAACATTTTAATAGTACTTTTCGCGTACTTTTGTGTGAAAATACAGAGGAGAAATTAGGGGAAGGCTGGGTTACGTCGTACAGCGAGGTAACGCCGTACACTTCATTTTTCTGTTACGTTTTGAAGATAAATGAATCTGATCGGTGCTGAAACCATGGGACAGTTTCTGTAATGCGTCAGAGTGAGTTCGTTGGACTACGATGCACGGTGCGCATTATATTATAAAAAGTATTCTTTTGTTAGTTTTTCTTACTATTTTTGACTTTCTTTATTTCAGAGGTAAGTGGAAAGCTTTAATGTATAAATTAGTGTCGTTTAAACCATAAAAAATACATTTCTTATATTTCACATTATAACGAAAACCCCATGACAAGAAATTGTGAATTTATGCTGAAAATTTTCTATGAGATCATGGTTGGGGCAATAGTGTACAAAAAAGATCGGAAGAGATATTTCTTTCGATTCGTCGTCTTGAGATATCAGCCTGTCAGCATAATGATTTGTGTTGGCGAACTAGACGACCGATTCAAAGAGCTTTTGCAGCGTGAAAGGGAATGCAAGTAGAGGGCTGAACTGTATGTTTGGGGAATTTGGGAAAGATGAACTTTGGCTCCGGTGTAATTCGTGCCTGGGTGGATGCACGAGGCGTGCAGTACTGATGAATGTGCAGAAAACTTTATCCGGGATTATTGTACTATGTTAAAACTAAAAAAATGTGAGGGAAGAACTAAGAAAACAATGTATTGTACTTCTGTAAAATATGGATATTCGTTTTCAAAATAATGAAGTAAGGTAAAGCGTAAAGTGTTTCATTTATCCCAGGTAATACCATGAATGCTTTAGAATTTATTGTTAAATTCACAACTCGCGAAGCAAGGAGGGGATTTATCTGAGAATTTCCAAAGCAGGAGTGGTATTTAATAGGACTATTCCACGAATGAAATTATGTCCAACAGTTCCAAAATGCGCCAAACATTGAAAATAACTGAAAGTTATGTCAAATTCACATGCGACACAGGGATCGATGTAGTATACCGCCATTTAAGATAGATGAGTGACTGTTCTGATTGGCCAGTTGGGAGAAGAGCTAAGAAAATTGGATAGAAAAACTGATAAACTTTTTTAAATAAACAGCCTTGATCGGGACATTTTGTATGTATAGTTAAACACTGTTGGTTTTAATTAACGAGTGGGTCAGCTTAAAATTGTCAAATTGTCGCCTTCGTCAAATTCTCAGCGTAAAATTCAACCATAAAAATTTGAATTTAGCACAGGAAACTAATCATTAAAAACGTATTAAAATCTGTAATATTTATTTATATTTAAAAAATCATTATAATAATTAACCCATTGAAAAATTAATGCGTTAAATTCTATCAAATTTTGGTTAAGTTATGGATGAATGTTCCTCCACTCCGTGAAAAATATTACCAACATTTTTGGGTCTATATTTAGGATTATTTTGGATTTTTCCCAAAGGTCATTAAAGATTAACGTAGGTAATATTTCTCTCAATCATAATAATGAATACAATTTTCTCGGATAAATATTTAAAAAGCCGAAAGTTAATAAGAATAAACGGAAGGAGTCACTTCTACTCGAATAGCACAGGGCCCAAAATTTGTTGGCACTTCTCATTTCCGATAAAAGGACTCATGGATCCAAATGTTTCATACATTTCATTTTGGTGCAAATTGGCAGCATGAAAAGGTAGTAACTGGATGTAAGTCTGTTAAAATAGTGCTTCTTTAAATTAAATTTGTGAAAGGGCTGCGCAGCCAGAACCTAAACAAACCGAAAGAAAACAAATAGCATTGTAAATAATGCGATAAGAAACGCAAACTTCGGCAACAGCGTAAGGCAGCCAAGAACTTCCTAATTCTTTAGGAATCGCTTATGCGCATTGCAGAGGTTGCCACCCAATACCTGCCCGCCAGAGGATGTGACGTCATTCAGGACATCTCTATACCATAGAGTATCTATATATTATCCATGTCTATACTCTCTGCTGGAATAGCGCAATTCATTTGTGTGCCGCAGAGCCTCTCGTGGCGCCTTCTGGCAACTTATACAGTAAAGTGCAGACCGGGTAAACTCGACTTTCACCTTCTAATACAAGTTAGGGATCTAGAGGTTTCTGAAGGACAATATGTAATCACATTCCGGTCTTGTTCCCCAGATGGCGCTTACAGAGTCTACTAAGTCTGTTTCACTTTGTCAATGAAGCCTGTAAGAAAGAAACTTAACTCTGGTAGCGGTGGCAACTTTGACACGAGTTTGGTGGCTACGGCCAAAAATGCGTAAATGTTCTTCCTATGCACACGTAATGTCGCTGAAGCTAAAAGAGTCCGATTAAAACTAGATTTTAATTTCTTGGCGCGTAAGAACCTATTTTTACGATTACGAATATCTCACATTTCGCGTCGTTCTTGGTCGTGCCGCCAGATGTCGCATAATCGCAAGCACTACTCAACACGGTCATTGAATAATTGCGCGATACCAGTCATCCATGATCACGATCATACAATGGCACGATATGGTCGTGATCTTGCTACATGTAGCGGCAAGACCGAGAAAGACGCCAAATGCCGTGAGATTTTCCATCGTGAAAATAGACCCTCACGTACCAAAAAATAAAAACCCACTGAATAGCTATCGCCGCTTTTCATACATACCCCCACCGCCGGTATGTAGTCCAGGCTTCGTGGCATCCACACATTTTAGTCTGTGATGACGTTTATGAGACGCTCATGGACATGGAATACTCGTATGTAAGAAATGCATCATGGGAGTATTTTATACGTGATCTGAGGGGCTTTTCTCTGATTTCTCGTGTCGGGCGCGGACTTGTTTGTGGTTGTGTGGTTTTCTGCACGATGTAACACCACAGTCTATTAACTGAACTCTGTGCATATAGTATGGTAGCACGGAGTCTAACACCGTGTTGCCTGATTCTATTAGCTTTATTGGTTAGAATCCCAAAATGTGGATGAACATTTTCCACAGCAAGAGACGGGGAAGTCATAACGAAAATTATAGGCAATAACCGAGAATACGGTTAGGACACATGAAGAAATCGATGTGTTAAACGTTTATTATATGTTAAAACGTTTTGTTTTTCATTTCTGCTGAACATTCATTTTTTACAAGGCTTTTCTCTGTGAGCCCCTTCAAAACGATAACAGTCTATAAAATGTGCAAACGACTCTATTAACACAGCTGGAGAGCAGGTATAATGGTAAAATAAAATATATGAATGAGGTGAAGGGGCCCAACGCGCTAATTTTAAATTGCGTACGCCTATGGTGAAGATGTCTGCTGGTTGCTGTTAGTACGATCTTTTGACCTTTATTTTAACAGAAAAAAACATTTTGAAAATAATCCCTTATCTTTGCGAGACTTCCCAGGAGAGAGGATTTGAAAGTCAGAATAATGACATAATTTGTTCATGCAAAGATCTATCGTATTTCAGAATTTGCATTTTCTGCCATACTAGGTCATTATTTTAACGTAATTTTTAATACAGAATATTATAACATTTGTGTAGTGTAGTCACAAATATATGATGTAGAAGTTCAAAATACCCGCCTAAATAGTGCATTCTACGTGTCATTTGTTTTTCCTTTGGCGTCGTTTTAGCGCCCCTAACGGCAAATTCTTCCATTCGGCCATTGAAGGAGGCGCCATTTTATCTCTACTCTGCTTCATGGTTCAACATGAGTGATTATTCAGCGGTTGCTCCGCCTACAAATTTCAGTCAAAGTTCTGCATTTGCTGCCGCTCTTCAACGTGCACGGCAGGTAAGAATAATATATAATGTTTATGTTAAATTGACCTTTCGTTGGGTACGATGTGCTAGTCTTTTGTAGCATTATGCCCGAACTATTCCGACTCGTTTGGCGCCATGCTGTTACTTGGGACGCCCTATGTATTATTACTTATTGTCTGTATATTACATCGGCTTTGGATGCAGTTAAATGTTCTAAATCTTTCGACAATTTCGGGTAAATTCGGTGCAAGTCAGATAGGGGAGTTTATATTTCAAGTTTGCCGTGAAAAATGGCTCCGGTGTATGACCGGCCTTGAATAGTCAACGAACAGTTCAATTGAGCAAAATGTATGAAATCTAGTTATTGTTTTTTAACTTGTAATACATTTTTTAGATTTTTTTGGTTATGTTGATCAAAATTTGTGGGTTTGGTTGTCTGTACTCCTAATAAGCGTTGTTACGGCAGGGCGCCTAATGGTCTTTGTAATATTGATGTAAAGTTTCGGCGTGCATTGTTTGGGGTTTCACTTCGACTTAGCCAAACAATTTTCGTCACGAAAATCAGAATTTCTAATTAAGAACTGTGGCTTATTTAATGGAACCAAACTTCTTATATTAGGTCTCCAATTTGTATTGCGTGTTTTTGCTCTGGGATTTTGAACGAGATCTTTCGTAGCTAATTAAGACGAGGAAGCCGTGATGGAATTGGCTTCCATCCTGGGTTGATGAATTAAATTTGGTGTATTCCTTTTATTTATCATACTTTTTCCACTGGATATTTTAAAGAACAGTTTTGTTTGAAATTATTATTAATTATTTATTATTATTATTATTATTATTATTATTGATAAATGGAGACTATTATTTTTGTTCTTGAACCACATAATTTGAATGAATGAAACATCTTCACATTTATGCTAGGAAGAAGCTAAGTTCTTGTAAATCTCTTGTGGATAATTTTTCTTAGCTGTAGTATTAATATACAGAATGCTTCAGTGTTGAAATATTGTAGTTCAGCTGTACACTTGGTAAACAAAATATTTTCTCTGAAGATTCTGTTTTCAAAAGGGTATTTATGAGATCGGAATTTTTTTTTTTTGTAGTTAATGAATAAAAGCTCATCCTGCAAATGAGAATTTAAATGTACTATAAACTAGAAAAGTTTGTGTTGTATTGAAAATACTAAAATATTCCTGACTTCGTACTGGACATTTCATAAATATTAAATGTGGAGTGTGATAATATGCTTGAAAATACTTTTATTTTCAAAAACTTATGATAAGAGAGATGAATGCCAGTAGTAGTATTATGATTCAACGCCACCAGGATTGATCGACAATAGACATTCAAATTTTTCTTCTAATGAACAGGTCAAGGTAAATACGGACTTCTATTTGCTGAAAAAAATTTGTTGCAGAGTACATGTTCAAGAATGTAATGGATGAGAGACTTTCTTGTTACTCGATTTTTTCAATTTTCTAAATTTTTAACTTTATATGAGGCACATCTAGAGAGCAAGTTTTGTGAAGTCAACAAAAAGAAAGCTTAATTGTAGAACTTCAGTAGACAGCAATTCTATTTTTACACAAAATCACTATCAAACATTTGCCATATAATGGGAGCAGTATTTGTATCTCTGTCGTAGAAGTCTACCGCTTGGTTCAGTATTAATATTTGACAGCTACATGGAACTCTGCAGCTGATAAGAGCAATGGTATCTGGTCAAAAATTTTTGGTGTCGATGAGATCTGGGCTGTAGATTTGTCATTGTTGTCCACACACAACTCTGCTCACATCAATGTTCTGTAACAGTTTCACTGGGAGAGTTTTGAGCATCCACCATAGTCTATACCAGGGATACAAATGTTGATTCACTGCACGACAAGTCTCTTTGGGTGGTGATAATGTGAAAAGTAATGCATCATGTGCTTACCTTCTGCCTTAGTTTTTCCATTACATTTTATTTTTGTTGATGACTTAGAGAAACCAACTTTCTGAATGTCACTTGAATATTGCAGGTGTGAAATATTTATACATACTAGTCCTTTGGTATTGAAGACTTTGCTGTGTATTGTCCCTTTGTTTTGATACTAGGCTCATTATGCCCTTTTAACAGACTTATTTTGTTGTATGGATTCCTGCAACAAAATTATTCCCATGTACTGATTTTTTGAAGATTTATTGTGAACATATGTGGCATTAGTGGTGAAATAGTAATGAGCTTGGTGTCCAATGTAAAGTTTCTTATTCATTTTGAGAGAAAACATGCAGGTAGAATGTTAAAGCATGTTGATCTTATTTGATGTTAATTTGAAAATTGAGATAAAATCACTTGTTAACTAAACCTTCATGAAAATGTGCAATTTGCTTTGAGTGATGGGAGGGCTATCATTGAACGGAATTTGAAAAATGGGGAGTATTGTTTAGCTTTTGAAATACTTTTATAAACAGCTTGTATTTGCTTTGGTGTTTTATGGTAATTTACGCATGGACACAAGTTAAATGTGCTCCGTGAAACCTATAAGCAGCAGTTTGTGTTATCTGTATTGAAGAATTGTCTTTAGATTTTAAACACTGCATGTTTGTTGCGATTATCTGCAGCTTAAAAAGTTGTTTGCTTTGTTTGAAGTATTGTTTCATTTTTTTGTGCAGTGTTGATTCTTAATTTTTTTAAGCCAGTTCCAGTAAAATAAAAAAAACTGAAATATGACTGAAAGGTAATTTTGTTTACAGATTGCAGCAAAAATAAATCCAACTGGATCAAGTGACAGTGTTGGACAAAAGCGGCCATTGGAAGAAGGGTCAGGTAAGGATTGGACCAGTATTTTCAAATCTAGATCAAGCTTTTGAGAAACTCCTTATTCCTTATTAGTGTAAGTAATGCTATTAATTATTTTTAGTTAGCCAGAACATAGTCAATTATTAGTTTTAAGTTCTTTTGGTAGTCTGAGATCTTTGTTTCATCATTTAATTCCTAGAAGTTGCAGAGTTAAGAAGGGGAAGTCTTAGGTGGAGAAAGTGTTTGTGATATAATTGTTATTTTGAACTTTGTTTTATTTTATTAGCTCTTGTCTAGTTTGTATTTGTAGGAAAATTAATGAATATTATCAATGCGTAACAGCCAATGTTGAAAATATTTAAATTAATGGATACATGTCCATGATTCAAAATGTAGTAGTAGTGTAGTAGTATTAGATATAGTAGTTCAGAAATATAGTAGTACTGCAAAAGTAGTTGCTTTATTCTTTTTATCCAATATCTATTGAGAATATAATATATTTTAATTTAAAAGTAATTGTCTTAAAGTATGCAACCACCGTTGTTGGAAATAGCGTAGGGTCAGCAGTGACACTCTTATTTCTTTATTTTATTGTTTTCAGAACCTGACGCCAAGAAAGTGGCGGCGGTTAGTGACCCTCAACTGGCAGCGCTTCGGGTGCAGCAGGCCACTTCTCCAACAGGCTCTGCTGTAAACAGTGCTGCTGCGGCTGCGGCCGTCCAAGCTGCTGCAGTGGCGGCTCGTGTGGCCGCTGCGGCGGCCGTTGGCTTGGGAGTTCCTGGAGCAGTCCAGGTTGAAGACATTCGTGTGCCTGATAAAATGGTTGGGCTAAGTAAGTAATTCAGTGGCTGAAAATTTGCATTAATTTTGGAAAGTTTGTGGCTAGAAGAAAATACTTTTTTTTCTATTGGGCTTAATGCGTGTGCCCTTGAATTTCCCTGTTGTATTAACTTGCTAATAAATGTCATTTCATATTTTGCAATTTAACTATTTATTTTAAAACTTAATTATTATACTTTCAAATGCTGTTTGTTTTTTTTGATTGCCAAATTGAGATGGAATCAGTTTTGTTTCATATGCTAATTGTGATAAGTGTTCATACATATTGGAAAGTTAAAAAAAAAAAAGTGTGAATGAGACAAATTTGGTGAATATGGAATTTCTGTATAAGTATATTCATGTAATAAAACTAATTTATATCCTTAAATACGGATTTCATTAGAAATCTCAAATGTTTCTTTGTGTTCACTATATAGTGTTGCTAAACAGTTTGTAAAAAGTTCCATAATATTTTTAAACGGTGTTTTGTACGATCTGTTATGGTTTGGCTCTAATGGATGAGAAAATGTTTCAGTTATTGGAAGAGGCGGTGAACAGATAACAAGACTGCAGAATGAATCTCGTTGCAAAATACAGATGGCACCTGACAGTAATGGTCAACCTGAGAGAGTTTGCACTCTTACTGGAACACGGGATGCAATAAAGTTAGTGTTTCTAATTTTTGTTAATTTTCTGTTTCTTGTGTTCTTCATAAAAATTAATGCTGGTGCTATTTTATGTTCATTCTTCAGCCGAGCAAGGGAGCTTATCATGAACATTGTGCAACAGCGTAGTCGAACTGAAGGAATAGGTTCTGGAGGAGGTGGAGACATGGGAATGTCCAACAACCATGCACATGTAAGTTTCTATTTGTAAAAGTGAATTTTAATTTCTTTTTATATGGTTCCTGAGGATTGGTAAGACCACTGAGTTCTGTATTACAGCCATCTTCAGAACAGAAATCTTGTTAAATCACACCTTTAATAGTTATTCTGTTGAGCCACAGTGTTCAAATAGATTTTTAATATCTTATTTAGGGTGTTTGTTGCTTTCCTTTATGTAGAAGGCAATAACTGGAAGAGCCACTGAATATCACTGCAGCCATCTTCATCTCTTGTCAGTTTGTGTCAAGATACCTGCATGTATTTGATTTTCTAATTGTATTGAAATTTTGTATCAGTCGTGCTGCTGGCCTAGGGATATTCTGTAACCTCATTTTAGGAGCTTGTCATCCTTTTCTTCCTTTGACCTTTTCCTTGTCATTGAATTGCAATCCTTCATTCTGGGCTGGGGAAGTAGAAGTATTTGCAAAATAAAAATAGAGGAACCATTGGAACAATCATAGTCACTTATAGCACATCTGCATTTATGTATTATTTATTTCTTCCGTATGGAGGAGAAACGCATGATCATATTGATAATTGGTCCTCGTGGGTCGGGCACTTATAGTCCCCCAACACACCCCTGCAGGTAGAGATCATGGTGCCCGGTCCCAAAGTGGGCCTGATCATCGGGAAGGGTGGAGAGACCATCAAACAGCTGCAGGAGAAATCTGGTGCAAAGATGGTTGTAATCCAGGATGGTCCTGCTCAAGAACAAGAGAAGCCTCTGCGAATTAGTGGCGAACCTCAGAAAGTAGAGGTGAGCACGTTATTTTTGAATTATTTTTCTATTCAATAAGTTTTATTTTGGACACTGTTTAGGCAATTCAGAATATTCTAATATTGGCAATGTTTTGATTTTCTTAAATTGAAGTTTACAATGTTTTTGTGTATAGAATCGTTTTTTACTAAATATTTATAACTGACAATTAAGATTCAATTAATGTATTACTGTTTTCAGTATGCCAAACAACTGGTGTACGACCTGATTGCTGAGAAAGAAATGCAGGTAAAAGAAAAGCAAAGCTTTGAATTGCGGTTGACTTGTCAAGTTAGCTAGTGTGGTGTGATTGTATGTTTATCACATCATTACTGTTGTTGACAGGCATTTAATCGTGGAGGTGGGGGCCAGCGGGGGGGCGGCGGGGGAAACCCTGGCTATGAAGAATATGGTGGTACCAGCGGGGGCGGTGGCACTGGGGGCGGTGGAGGTGGAGATTCTGTAGAGGTCAGTTTGCCTCTTTGCCTTTAAGCTTGATTTTGCATGGGGTAGGCAGGATTTGTTTGCAGTGAGCTAATAACTGTAACAGAATTGTAAAATCTGAAATCTTGTTTCTAATAAGACTAAAGAAACAAGTTTTGAATTTTTTAATTATTTTCTCTTTTGAAAATGTTAATACATAATTACTGCTCAGTTTGTAAATGTTCATATGCCTTCAAGCATGTTTTTTTTTCTCAATATGTGGCATGGTGAAATTTGTCAAAAGTTAATGTATGAAAAGTATGTTCGTTTTGTTATGCATTTTTTATTTTCAGTTGCTTTCACTGCATTCTGCCTTAGTTCGTCATGTCAGTTGTAGAATATATTTTTTGAGTTAGTTCAAAAGACCTCAATAGTATCAGATGCGTGATTGCCATAACGGATTGTGTAAAAGTTGGTTATGCAGAGTCTTATGTGAAAAGGTATGATAGGTAATTTGTGTGTGTGCATGTACGTGTGTGTGTGTGTGTGTCTACATGCTGAAATGCTTTTTTCCCTTCATCAAAATAATTAAAGTACTCTAAACTTTATTTATGGAAAAAAAATTTCATATCATAGTACCAGGATGGCAGTTCGTTTTGTCAGCTACTTTTTCTGTGGTTGGAGAGGTTAGTGGTAATAGGTAAATTCATAGGTGGTATGGTTTTAGCAAGTCTTTGTTACTGCTGAATGGGTAAGTGCGAGTGTGTAACCCTAATTGATCCTTTTCCTTACCCTGTATGGAAAGTTTTTTTCAATATGCTCTTGCAATGTTTTTGAAAGATCTTCCATTTGTCTAAGTGATATATTTAATTAGTTTTCTTTTGTCTCGTACATTCATAATTTTTTAATATTTTGCATTTTTTGTGGGTGTGCTGTTGGTTTTGAGTAGGGTTTTGCTTTGATGGCTGGAGTGCTCAGTGATGTTTATAATTGCACTGCACAGTTCTTGTGTTTGTGCAGTATAATTTCATTAGAACCATCTATTTCTTTTCAAAAGGTTTGCAGTTGTTTTTGTAGTTGCCAAAATTCACTACTGCTGAAGTTTAATGTTAACGGGGTTTGTTAATTAATCTTCTTAAATCATGAATTAGTGATATTGGAAGTGTGAAGATGGCTGTTTCAGTGGCTCCTTCCCACTAACCTTGTTGAGATACTGTTTTATTTCCTTCCCAACCCCTTTCTTTTGTGTTAACTTCGCATTATAGTTCAGTAGTTCACTGCTAATACTAGTGTTTTATATTAATTTGTAGATATCTGAAGATGACTGTAGATCAGTGGCTCAGTATTTTTTAATATTTGATTTGTGTGTTGTGAGTTGGGTGGTAATTTTGCAAGCACAATTGATGTATTAGGTTTATAAGAGTTTTTACGTTATATTTTCTTTTCTTAGGTTGCAGTTCCTCGAGCAGCAGTAGGTGTCGTGATAGGGAAAGGCGGTGATATGATTAAAAAAATTCAGAATGAGACTGGTGCTCGTGTTCAGTTTCAACAAGGACGAGATGATGGACCTGGTGAAAGGCGGTGCCAGCTGACAGGCAAACCTAACCAAGTAGAGCAAGCAAGGAGAAGGATTGAGGAACTCATTGAAAGTGTTATGGTAAGATGTCATTACTACATAATTATTTTGTAAATGATATTCTTGAAAGAACTTAAGTCTTTGAGATATAATAAATTCAGGATTGTACTTTAATGCAGCGGCGAGACAATGAAATTGGAAGAGGACGTGGAAGGGGCGGCCCAGGTGGAGGTGGCCCACCATTTGATCGGATGGTGAGCCGAGGAGGTGGAGGTGGTGAATATGGTAACGGAGGTGGAGGCGGTTGGGATCGTCGTCCTGGTGGTATGCAACAAGGCGGACAGATGGACAAACAAGAAGCTACATTTACCATTCCAGCTGCAAAATGTGGGATTGTTATTGGAAGAGGTTTGTTTAATTTTTATGTTTAGATTTTGATTTTTGGTGGAATATCTTGTGTGCTTGTCAAAATATTTCAGTTACATATGTGTATGTAGTAGTTTGAATAAAATTGCAATTATAGGTGGTGAGACAATCAAACAAATAAATCAACAAACCGGAGCGCATTGTGAATTGGATAGAAGGCCACCTCCGAATCCTGCTGAAAAAGTATTTGTTATCAGAGGTTCCCCGGAACAAATAGAACAAGCAAAGAGAATAATTAGTGAGAAGATAGGAATGGTAATAATTTACATAATAAGCTGTAATATTTGGTTTAGTACTTTTCCTTCATATTTTTCTTTTTTTTTTTTCCAGCCACCTGGTCCTGGTGGTGCTCCACCAACTCAGTATCCCATTGGTCAGGGTGCCCCTGGAGGGTGAGTAGCTCTTTATATTCTCACGTGTAATAGTAATGTTTGTGTGTGTGGTATAAAAATACCTGCATAGTTGTTTAATATATTCTAAAACATACGCAGGAAAAGTTGCAATATTTTTCTTGTAGAATCTGTTCTACATAATTAAACCTTGAAATAATGTCATGAAAAATCACTTGAATTTTTAAATATTGCAAACACAAATATTTTACTTGGATAGGGTGAAAAAAGCAGTGTGTGTTGTAGTAGTATAACAGTCAGATGTTCCAGGAAGTGAGAAAGTACTGCTGTACTGTATCTCAACAAATTGGAATGAAGTAAATCACATGTAAAATCTGTCTCTAACTGTTAACATCATTTACTGAAGACACTTCAGACATAATTAGCTGAGAATTACATGTAATTTTTTGTTAAATCTAATATAAATTTTTTCCCGGAAGTTATGGAGAGAAACAAAATTCTATTTCATCAGTTGTGCACTACATCATGTTGAACTTACGATTTTTATAATGTTGTTAGGAAAAAATTCTGTATAATTAACTGCATAAATTAAGTGACATTGGTAGATAAAAATAATTTTCAGGAGGTTAGATAATATTGGCACTACTGTGTCTCTTATTTGGGAGGTCATTGGGTTCAAGTCCTGATGATAGGATTTTCAACACTCATATCTGACAGGACAGGATAACTCATGACAGGATTTTCAGTTTGACTTGTCTGGAAGAAAGTTTTAGTTACTGGCTGCTCTGTTTGGTAATTTTCCTTGGCTTATCTGACCACCAGGTGAAAGCTAGAGTAGTATCCTGACTAGAGGGCCAAGGATAGCATGTAATCTTTCCTTCCTCTTTCTTGTCTTAGCCTCACCCTGTACTTACACGCACATGCTTTACAATACCAAACATGTCAGGAGTGTAGAACTGGTTTTGGCAGGTGCCTCACTGGTGGTAGATACCTGCTTGGGGCATCTCCACAAGCTGACATTTGTTGCCACCAGATCTAGTCCTCCAATGGTGAAAGGTCACCATCACCTCCCACAGTAAAAGTGTGCACCATGTGTATGGGGTGAATGGATTTATCAGTTCACCTGCCTGGAAACAACAATCACTCTCAATCAGTTTAAGCAAACAAGATTTTTGTACTACATTGTTGCAATGAAATACAAAAAAGAATTACAAAATAGTGTTCACAAGGGTCCTTTCTAAAGCAATACAAGAATAATGGGTGGTATGAATAAACATAAATGCTACTCTGAGAAGCTTGTGAAGTAAATCCTTACTTTCTGGTGATGAAAACTCACCACAGCCACATGCCATCCCACAAAGAAAGAGGGCCAACTGTGCAAATGTTTGAGATAATTTTAATTTGCTAGACAGTTTATTAGACAGGTGAGAAGTGTGCTGATGTTAACTGAAAATGCTTTCATAGTTTTACCAAAAAACCTCTTGTGATTCATATTTTGAAATGAACTAATGGGGTGAAAGAGCAGTGAGGTAACACAACAAGGTTGTGTTAATGAAGAGCTGACACTGATACACACAACCCAAAGAATTATCAGCTCTAAGTTAAATAAAAGACAGCTCTTTAGTTTCAAGCATGGGAAGGAAACTGCATACTTTGCTATTCTTCATATCAGCAGATTTTTGGAAAACTAATGAATATTTTTAGTAAAAATAAGAAAAATTATTAATAAAACGAGGTGAAGAAAGGGGATATGAACGTTCTTTTCAACCATAGAGAAGGGGATTTGAATTTCTTAACTTGCTCATAATTATTTAGTAATAGTACCAGAGTATGCAATTCAGTTCTACAGGTGTTCATACTTGGAATTTGTGACTTGTTAATTCTATGATGTGATTTTCAATCATTGTTACAAATTACATTTACAAAAAGTTGTTTTTGCCAGTAGTTTCACTGGAGAAACGTTCTTCTGGGTAGAAAATATACCTGAAACATTTCACATCTTCACAATCCCTACAGATCACATTCTCCCAGATCTTCTACAAATGGGTATCCTCCAACGAACCTTTACACTTTCTCTAGCATTTTTCTCCCTATTAGAAGTCTGTTTAAAAGCCTATTACGTGTTTTCACCTATAATGCTTTTGCTTGATAGCAATTGCTTTACTAATTATTTCAGATTAAGTATAGTAAAGTTTTTGTTTATTCCACCCAATCTTTATTATAAAATGAAGTAAATTTGTGAAGAATTTGAAGAAACTGATGAATTTGTGAAGAAAAGAAGGGAAAAAATAGTGTACCTTGAATTAGTTATTCTGAACGCAAGGTTTGAAAGAGCAAAAATCGTTCAAATTTTCAAATGTGGAGAAAAGTTCTGCTCTTACTACTACACCTTCATTTCACTGATTTCTGATGTACCAAAAACGAATGAAAACTTAAATGTAATTTTTAGCTTACAATAAAATCAAAGGTAGTATAATTTCATTTGTAACAAAGCTGCAGAGTAGGCCATAAGTATCACTCATTTAGGTGATAAAGGATGCATTTTGTGATATTGATCTTCTACACAGATCAGATTAAATGTAGCAATTACGTTGACACACATTATATAATCTAAAGAGTAAATGTCTTTCCAGGAGGAATTATAGAAATTACGGGAATGACTTTGCTGATGTAGACAACTTTTGTTCAAAATACCAAACATTTTTGGAGGTATTTCAGGTCAGAGGGCTGAGAAATCTGTGTGTTAAGAATTACTGTTAGAAATGCCATATCTAATGTAAATGTTTTTGCTCAATACTAGGAGACAACTTATATATCGGACAGCATAAATATTAGATACCAACCTTCCTGACATGACACAATACATTAGACCTTCACTTGATATAATTGTAAATGTTGTTTTTCAAAATATCTATGAACTTGACACCAAGAAGAGTGATGGTTTAAATGGAGTACCCCAATTATTTTGGTTGAATGTAAATGTATTTTGTAATCTATTTTGCACATTTAGTTTGTAAAATCTCTAACAATGGGGATATTTCGTACTGCAAGGAAATCTGCATACATATATTCATACACAAATTCATTAATCTTAGTCTAAAATTGAAGTATCCAGTCATGACCAATCTCTATTGAGTGATATACCTAACTTTTTGAATTTGGCAGTGATGGATAAATTAAAATCTAAAATGATTTTGTTTATATCAATTAATCAACGTGGTTTTAAGCCCGAATGAAACATTGTAAGTTAGTTCTTTACAGCTAGTATATTACATTCCAGTAAGGAAAATCAAAGTAGATATTATAGTAGACATCATTCACTTTCGCAAGGCTACTAATTCGGTAAACTGAACTGTGAATTTTAAAACTTTAATCCTTCAGTATAATAAATAGAAATGGTTGAATGAGTATGTGCTAAGGCTCTATAAAAAAAAGCCCATTTGAATTCATTGCCTTGGGAATTTCATCTCACGTTTAGGTAATAACACAGTTCAGATATTGTTTATGCATTCTGTCAAATTGGCTACCTTGAAAACACATGGTTAGTTGCCCATCCATGATCAAATGACAGTGGGTTCAGATTGCACACAGTGGAGTTTTCGTACTGCCAAATTCATCAAAATTGAATGCAAGTTTGTTGAAAATACCATTGTAGTGATGTAGGTAGTTCCATACATTCTTCAAAAATGCTGATTTGCTGAAATTTTGTTTCATACTATACGAATTGCATCAGGCCTTTTTCTTATTTTAATTTTCAAGCAATATTTGTATTATAATTTCTTTTCACACATAACATCAACACATGTCCATGAACAGTACATATCAAAGAAATGAACATATTGTACTGAAATGACAATATGATATTTAGTTAAAACTTAATGAACTGGAAATATAGATTGATACAATTTTAAGTTTTAGTTATTACGTACTGCTTTGTACTAGATTCATTTTGATTTAGTAATATAACATGTTACTTAAGGTTATGAGGTAAATTTTCTCCTCACTTGGTTGATAATCTTGCAACCTATTTCAATGTTTATTAACAATTGTTGCAGGCAAGGACCACCCCAGCATTTTGCTCCACAAGGCTGGGGAGGAGGATATCAACATTGGCAGGGCCAACAACATCCTAATGACCCAAGTATGTTATCAGTCATGTCTTGTAAGTGTGCATTTTTGCTTTATTTTCCTTTTTTACTTAATTTGCCTAATTCTGTAGTTTAGTTTAAATATCACAAAATTCTAGTTTTTATTAGTTTCTCTTTCAATATTGGTTAAGGTATTATTGTGTAGATTGGGGTATATGGTGTGCATTGTTCACTTGTTTATCAAATAATCATAACTCATAGAGTATAACCAGGACTTGAATTCTGATGATTTTAAACTTCTTTGAAAATGGCCTATAAAATTAAAAAAAAGGGGAAATTATCAATTTTTTACAAATACTAAAAGGTTTGTAGGAATGAGTTTTAAAATTTTAAATAAAATTTATTTATATAAAAATATATTTAATATAAATATTTTATTTTAGAAGGAAATATAATACTTAGCACCAATCTTCCAAGTGGCAGTTTGAAAGAACACTGAAATTACCAAAGATTGTGTAATTTTGGAAGTTTGAAAAACAGACCACTGCTGTAGTGAATTCAGTCATGAACTGGTCATACAAAAAAATTGTTTTATTGTGTCATTGTTAATTCATTAGACATTTGCTAACAAAAAACATGAAAAGGAAACAAAATGGGCAAAAAATAATGCAAAAGCCCAGACAACTGACTAGTTAGAAAATAGGAAAAAAATCACAAAAATGACTCTACATTCCTATCTCCTATATGTTAATAACACTAGTTTAAAAGTTACGTCATGCACCTATGAAAAGATGAATGTCATCAGAATCCAACACCTGTTTATTTCACATAGACTGCCATATCAATAGTATGTGGCTGACACCAATTCCTTGTAGAAAAGGTCAGACACAAGACTGAGGATTCTAAATTAAGTTGGGTGGGTAATCTCTACAGACACATCAAATCTGATTTATGTAGTGCATATGCATACTTTAGGTAATAAGAAAGAGAAATTCCTGAAATTTTAAAAATAAGTTGAAAAGAATGAAATGCACATAAAAAACTGAACACAAAATATCTATTGTTTTTGTACATGCTTTAATATTGTCTAAAAGTATTCCACATCAGTTCGTTTATTTTACTTTCTTCCCTTGCAGTTAATATTCAGTTGCTTACAAATGGGCATAGCAGATTCACATTAGCTTCATTTTCTTATTCTGGTTCACTTTTGTTGGTAGGACATCCTCTATATATGTATACATATGGTAAAAAATATACATATATCTATATATATATATATATATATATATATACATATACATACATACATACACACACACACAATTACCATATTTACGTGAGTAGTTGTATTTTCTGAAAATAAGGGTACATGCTAATTTTGGAGGCCTTGTGATAATTTTTTGGAATTTGAAACTACCATAATATAAGAAGTCATATTTTTTCACCTTGAAATTCTGGAAAAAAAGTACACCCCAGTGTAAGACTACCCTGGTTTTTATAACTGTATCAGGTCCCATCTGTGTAATGAAATTGAAAAACAAAACTACACATATTACTTACATGTTTATTAACATTATGCATAAATTATTTTGTGCATGTCAATATTTTATACAATGTATAAATTAAACTTCAATTTTACCACATCCTCATTCATCATTTAATAATCTCTCAATCATCTTCACTTGTTTCATCGTCACTCAATTCATGTCCATCATTCTCTCTCCATAACACATCTTCTGTGCCATCAAGACTGTTGCTTACACAGCAGTGTTTGAAACCTTTTATTATGCATTCATTAGAAATAGCATTCCATGCAGTTAGAATCCACTGACCAAGCTGCCCAACAAGGTTATTTGATGTTGCCAGGAGGAGTTGGGCAGTTCCCTGATAACAACCACTCTTCATATTGGCATCTCAGTTGGTGCTTGAAAGTTTTGTGGCATAAAGGACTTGCAACTGTGAGGTCATGCTTCTTGGTATTACTACTAAATCTGTTTATAAACTAGCAACTTTCTTTTTCACTTCTTCTGTAAGGTGTCACCTAAAGGCATCAAGGGTTAACAATCCTCTTTGCTGTAGGCTCCAGGTTACTTGTCCCAAACTTTCTGAAGCCAAGAAATCATTCACCCAGTTTCATTGCATTTAAAAATTATTCCACTTGGTTTTTCTTTGGGTAAATTCTTCCTTTTCAAGATAACAGATGGTTGCTTCCTGCCATTTGCAACAACACTCAGCGTGGCCATAAGACAATTTTTTTGTTTCCAGATGTTTTTGTCATAACTGATTTACACCCTTTTGTGGCCACTGTATTGTTAGAAGGCATGTCGGAGTTCCCGAGGGTCTCATCGACATTCTCTATTTGACTGAACAAAAGGTTGTTGATGGCGCAATTTGGTAATGTACTTTTGGAAATCCAGAAGTTTTTCTTCAGAATCTGCAGGCAGCTTTTGTGATAGGGAAGTTCTTCTATGCAGACTCAACCCTTTCCTTCTGATACTGTATGCAGCAGCCGACACTCGCATTGAATTTCTGTCTGGAAATGTTTCTCCTTCTTGCTACTTCTAATACTTTCATATGAATGCTGTTTATAGAAACTCTGAAAACCTTATTACGATTTTCTGTTACAAATTCGTCCATTTCGGGATGGCGTCCCACTTGTGGTCCATGGAAGGATTTCCTTGTAGAATTAAAAGATTTCAGGCGTTCCTTCATCTCTCTCCAATGCCTTACATTTGCTTCCCTTATTGTATAATGTTGTGCAGCTTCATTATTGTTGGTTTGTTCAACAAGATGGATAACTTGCAATTTCAAGTTTGTGCCGTAACTATTACGTTGTTCCACATTTCTGGTAAATTCTGCACTTCCCCTTTTCTGCATGTGGTCGGCCATTGCCACACTAATATATCAGCACACGGCTACACTACCACCAAGTACGAACATGACTACCATAGGACTACTAAAGTCACGGTACTCAACGACCTGGATGGGGAACGAAGGCTCGTGGCCTATCTCTCTCGGCCATGAGGAATGTTTTGGTGATGTCACAGCTGTTGCAATACTGCTAACTGCTGCTAAGAAACACTTAAATCCTATCTAACACTTCTGTGTAACAGCTGGGAAAATTATTTTACATCTTATTACTTCAATTATGTGTGGAATTTCTATTACAAAAAACCTTTCTTTGTGAAGATAACTTGTACTACACCAGGAACAACATAATACCATTGATATTGCGTTTTCTCCATACACGAATTTTTCATCATATGCAAATATAAGATGACCCCCGATTTTTAAAGGATGAGAACTGGGAAAAATACTAATCTTTTATTCGGGTTAATATGGTAATTCTAAACTTGCAAATTGTCTAGTTGACTAGAAAATTTTCTTGATAGGAATGCTGTAACTTAAGACCAAGATAACCTTATTTTCATATTCCTTAAAAATCATCATAATCACGGTTTTGGTCATTACTCTTTATCTTCACGTGCATCACATTTCGATTTGGTCCTTCTGTCATATTGAGGTGCCCTCTGACTCTTTTAGTCTCTTCTGAAAGTTTTGTGCTTTGTATTTGTTATTAGTCTTTCATATGATGCCACCTAAGAACATTCCCCTCTGTATCACCAGATTTGCTTCCTCTCCTATTCTTTATTTGTTGCCTTGGATTCTTTAAAAGTTCTTCTGGATTCTTTCACAGAATATTCTTGAAATCTGCATTATTTAATGATGTGTGATAGTTGTGAATTGTCACCTGTTCCCCTGCTTCGCCACTATCATTGAAGATAATGGAATGTTTTTAAATTTAGGAAGCTTTTGCTAAGAAAATATCAAGTTTATCATCCTTTTCTTGGATGGATGAAGAACATGTGCCACCCCCTTTTTTTTATAAATTGTTTTCTTTAAAATATCATTGTTTTGAAAATGGGGACATTGATCTCGTTTTATAATTGCATAATTGAGGAAGGTTTTTTAAACTAATATCATTGGCAAACATTTCCGACAAAATCAGGAATTTGAAAAATTGTGAAAAAAATATTTATCAGAGTTCCATTACAAACTACGAAAAACTTAAGTTCCACAGTGAATCAGTGTACAATTCCATAACTGATATTGATTTGGAGGTTAAAACATTTCATAAGTTGTTAATCATATCCCAAAACATTAAATAATGGCTAAAATAAGAACAAGTCTGTACAATAAAGAACATGATTAGAACTTTTGAAGATGTTTACAATAACATGTTTCTAATTTTCCAACTTGATTAAGTGTCTAATGTCACTTTGGATTAATCGTTTTAACATAATTAAAATGCTTTGGAAAGCATACGCTTCAAATCTCCAGTTTTAGAATAAATAATCTTCCTTTTGACTTAGAGCAATCTGTTTGCTCTTCTTTTACCTAAGCATTACAATTTCTTATATATGATAGATCGTGACGTGTCCCTACGTCATTGGTGTAGCATGGAGATAAACTTGGGCATCTAGTTTGACAAGAATATCAGCTTAAGGATCGCCTCCGTGCATGGATGGCTTTTTTTCTCATTGGTGCACAAGTGTTTTTTTTGTTTTCTTTCTTGTTTTTCTCTCTCTTTGTCGTGGTAGTTATCATGGGAGACACATAACAGCCAGGAAGTGGGTGGGGATGCACTGAAAAACTAGCCCAAAAGGTTCCCAAAGAAAGGATGAGTGACTAATACAAGATTGTCATTTTGTAGTACATCTTACGTACATTTGAAACAATGATTTGTCATGCAATATACCATATTTGCACACATCCAAATACAACAATATTCTGCTGTGTTTGAAACAAGTCTTTTATGGATATAATGGACCTAATTCCTAAATAGGAGTGAATGTTTACTTCATAATTTGTTTGTAATAACTATTTGGATGTAATAAGTACATTAGTGTTGGCATGTACAGTGACATTGTTGGGAATGTTATGAATAAAAGCATATTTAGAAAAATAATTTGCTTGTATTTAAGTTGGTTTTTGGTGCAATTAGTTGATGTTTTTTAGTTTCCTCAAATATTTTGTAAATTTGCATTAAATAGGTATTGCACTGCTTCTTAATGTATCACTTTGTTGGAGTTACTGTCAGTTAAGTCTTTGGTTTGTTAAAATGTTGTAGAAATTTGAGAGTATGAAGTTTTAACAAACATTAAACATTTTTAGGTGGAGGGCAAGTCCAAGTTAATCCTGCTACTGGACAACCCGATTATAGTATCCAGTGGGCAGAATACTATAGGTCAATGGGCATGATTCGGGAAGCCGAACTGATAGAACAACAGGCCAAAGCTAATAAGGTATGATCATAAAGTAATTGAAGTTATTGGTAGTTTCAAAATCATTTTTTTTACTCCTTGAAGCTAGTGTTCATTTGGTCAGGGGACTTCAGTCCATCATAAAATACAAAGTATTTTTTACTAGTGTGTAAAAATGCCAGAATTGTTATTATTGTAATTTTTTTTCAATTGCACATTATTGGTCATTTGATACATTCTGAACATTTTTGGGTCTTTGCAATGATACACTAGTCATCCTATTGATTCTGTTGGAGCCGAAGTATCAAATAATTAATTTTGAGAAAATGAGTACAAATAAATTTGCTCAGTGTCTCCTACTTGAGGCTAGCATTGCAATTTCATAATTTAGGCCAAACAATGATGAAATAATTGCAAATTTTTTTTAATAGGGACTTGCTCCTCAGCCTGCGGCTCAGCCAGCTCCCCAGCCAGCAGGTCCTCAACCTGCAGCTACAACACAGAATGGGCAGCCTGATTACAGTGCTCAGTGGGCTGATTACTATCGATCTATTGGCAAAATAAAAGAAGCTGAAGCAATTGAAGCACAGATGAAGGCAAACAAAGTGAGTTGTCATCAATCTTTCAGAAAAATAGATACTTCTAATCAACCAACACAATGCAATAGAACTGTGACTATTATTACTTTGCTCCCAACAAAAATGATCATTGATAAATAATTTCTATCTATATTCACAATATTGGAATTGTAACTGGGAGCTTTTAAGTTCTCAGATTGTGCGAATTAAATGAACTAAATCAAGAATTAGTTGTATTAAATTTAAATACAACACTTAAATTTTTTTTTGGCAGGCTGGTCAGCCAAATGCGGGAGGTGCTCCCCAACAGCAGCCTCAACAGCAACCTCAGCAGCAGCCAGGTGGTGCGCCCCAACAACCGGGAGGTCCTGGGCCTCAACAACCTCAACAGCCTCAACCTCCTTATGGTCAGCCTTATGGCTATCAGGCTGCAGCAGGATATTATGGTGGTGCACCTGGTAAGTAATCAACTATTTAAGGGGGGATGGTTATTTATACTTTCAGAAGTAAATGTAAATTGAGTTTGATGTATCCCAAGCTTGTAAAATTTTTGAACATGGAGGAAGTGGAATAATGTTACATTTTCACACGGGGGGTTTATCAAATGACTAAAATCTTGGCGACTATTCTCACCACTATTTTAGCTACACGTCAGATGCTAGGATACTAAGAAATTCTTTATGGTGCTTAAAAATGCACCACAAAATTAGGAATGGGTAGTAAATAAAAACAAAACTTAGGAAAAGGCACATATTCCGAAGTTTTAATATATTTCAATACTGTTGAAGAAAATTGTGGATATGCACAATTGCACCCACCCACTTGCGTTTGAATTGTTACCCCTTACTTACACAGATTTACACTTAGTGTCCCTACCTTAACACATGTCACGCTACTCGAGAGCTTACAGCTTGTTAGGGCTGTGTTGGTGCCCCACTGGTGGGAGATACATGTAAGGGGAAAACCCTTCAAGCTAAAGTGTGGTTCTGTGCTAGTCCTGACCATCTAGCAGGGAAAAAACACCACCACCACCTCCAGTGATATACATTTTGGGAAAAAACACTACTTCCAGTGATATACTCTGATGGGGCTAAGAACTACAGCAGTTGATGTACCTGGAAATCTGCCAAGAACACTTCTTACGTAGCCAAAGACTATGTAGTTTTTGCACATTGCATGTTTAGAAATGTAGATGATTGAGTTTATTCAATGTATTATCAATATAAATATTAAAATTCTTTACATATAACGGTACACATTGCTAGTTTTGTGGAGTCATTGTTTTGAATTTCCCAGCGAGATATGAAGTCTGTTAAATTTATTTACATCCAAAGGCTCTATTATTGATTTCCATGTATTGAGTAGAACATTGATTTATATTAAGCTACAATTTGGATAATTTTTTGCCGTTTCTGATTTGTGACCAATTTTTGTGCAGGAGCACCACAACCCACACAACAACCTGGACCAGGACAGGCACAACCTTATGGGTATCCCAACTATGGAGGATATGGTGGTCAGCCAGGTGGTCCTGAAAATCAGTAGTAATATTGCTGCTGTAAGTATAGTTTTTAAGGACATGCAAATCGGTATTTCTCTACACATTCACATATGCACAGAATCTCATTCGTGTGTGTGTGTGTGTGTACACACACACATGCTCACTCACCCTCTCTGTAATGGATAGTGGAAATATCATACAGATGGTTATGTTCAATTCAATTCAATCAGTATTTAGTGTAACTCACCAGTTTGAAATGACCAGCTTTGCCATTCAAGTTGCTTTTTGATCATTGTTTATTTTCAAGAATTCCGTTCTTCATATTTATATCTACATTAATGGTGTGTAAAAAGTATCCAATTTAGATAATTTGCATTTTGAACTTGCAAACTGTAATATTTTATTACTAATGCACTTTATTTATGTTATTACTGATGCATTGGTGTAAAATTGTATATTTAATGTAGGAATTAAAATTTTAAAAATTGTTGCTTCGGGTAAATGTGAAAATCCAGGATAGATTTCACAATTTAGAAACTCCGTTTCTTTGTTTTTCTTTATGCTAGTTTATGCAGCATTTTATGGTAAGAAGGAAATTTCGTTAGGGCTTTTTTTTACAGGTTACAGAGTTACAAATTTTCCATGTGAAAAGTACATGAACAAGGAGCTTTTCTTTCACCTGAGCTCTTAGCATGTACAAACTCATGATGGGATTTTTGGTGCAATGTAAACTGATGTGCATTCAGGAATGATTATTGGTTTTTATTGTTTTTAGTGAGGATTTGAAGAGAGATGTGGCAAGTGGCATATTCTATTTTAAGCAATGTTGAATTTCTTGTATGTCAACATATCTTCTGTGGACATTGGTATTTCTTTGAATGGTTTTGGACAGGTTCCTTCTTCCTGTTTTTTGTAATTTCTTGAATATTGTACAATATTGATATTTGATTTCTATAATCTATCCTAGTACACTCATATGCCATTTAGTTATAAATTAATACATTGTTGCAATCCTGCCAAAAGGTTTTTGTGGGAAAAGGGTAGAGTAGAATGTATTTTGTGTTAGACTTGTGAAGCTCTGGTTCCAGCATTTTTCATGTTCAGCTCTTCTCGTCCAAAGGATTGCTGGTTGCATTGGACTGCTGAAGTGAGTTTGTAATAACACTTCAGTTTGAAGTGTGTTGTTCATAATTTTAATGCAGCATATAAAAATGTATCATGTCCACTTGAATTGTATATTCAATGCACTTTTAACTTAAATGGCATATGCTTTTTGTATGAATAATACTTTAACCTTCAAATACTTGCTGAACATTTGAAACATCTGTTAAATATTGGGTACATTTTCCTTGTCTGCATTGTAGGGAGAACTTGTGTTGAGGTAAGTTAATTTGGGAGACAGTAACGTTGATACTAATTAAAATTATAAACTAGCAAATGTAAGATTTTTTTGGTTATTTTATATTTTCATTTTTTGGCAACATTTAAAAAGGTGATGTTTTTCAACTGTACTGTCTCTGAAAAAGAAGAAAATCAACATTGCTTAATATAAATGATCAACTAATCATGTTACTGAGTTTCAGGAATATTACATTTATATATATTAGAAGAACTTTGCATACATGTTGTGTGTTTGCATTTCATTTCAGATTATTTCATCTTCGATGTGGTTGATGTCCAGAGGGTGTTAGGAGAATGGCACAATGTGGTATCGAGTGTACATGTCAGCAGGCGTTTGATAGGATCGGTTTATTTGCGATATAAAAATTATTCCGGAAATGTACTTTTGTCTTTTTTATCTGCACTTGTTTCTTTGTTTATTTGTATAAGAACACTAATATAGTTACTAGTGACTTGTAACTCCAGTTCTCATCCTACCTAATTAATTGCTTTTAAAATAGGATGTATTCTATTGTGTTTGTGTGTGATAGAATAAGACAAAAGAGGGGCCCCTGTGTGTTGCCTTATGGTTTCCATTATTGACAAATTTGTTTATTTGTTGGGGCAGGCTGTTTCTTCTTTTCATTGTGAAAGTGTTAAATGCAAGAAGGAATCGTGTTCTTGATTTTTATACCTCGGGGATTATATGAATGTCGTTGTGTTATGTATGTGTATATATGATGAATGAAGAAAAGTTTTCATTTGGGGAAGTCGGTTGCCACAGTTATGACATGCTCAATGATGCCAAATGGAAGAATGCCTGGGATTGCAGCCTGTACTCCAAGATGGTGAGGTGTTGGAGCATCAAGAATGAAGGGAAATAGAGCTGGCAGCAATATTCCAATTAAAGTTTACCCTTCCCCATGAAAGGGTAGAGAAAAGTTAATAAGATTCAACACTTCTAGTTAGAAGGTAAACTAGTTATAGTTAGTTGGTAGAAAACATTTGCACCAGCTTCAGGGTCTCAATCTAATTTGTCTTGACAGCATAATGTTAATGTTCAATATATTAATACATTTCACTGTCTATTAGGAAAATATCTTCTGTGATGCTTTTCAGTATGTTTAGTTCAGAATGAAACTTGATACTGATATCAGGGATCAAATTGGTGTGAATCTGCTTCATTGTTGCAAGAAGCTGGTGCAAATTTTGCATAAGTCATTAAACAAATGGTGTTCATTAATTTAATTTCACATCATTTGCATTGAAGTAGCTTCACATCCACAAATATTTAGTGTAAATTACTGTTAATTTTTTAATATTAAAGAATGTCCACTTCAGGTGTATGTGTGAGAGTTTTTTAATTTTTGCCTCTGAAACATTTCACTGAATGTTCTACCAGTACAAAATTGTATGATGATTGTAGAAAATAACATGGTATTAAGATTTCTGATGTTTGAAAATGTGGGGTTGCTTTTTTGGGGGGGAAACCTTGTCACTAATTAAACTTCAGATGAGAGGAGGATATTTGAATTTTTCATGAGTGTACCTTCATGCAACCTTTCTTTCCTTTCCTTCAGTAGAGAAAAAAAAGCAGAAGAGAAGTGTGCAGTCACTGAGATAAATTGTTGAAATGTGTGAATTCACATATGAGTTTGTTTTGGCTTATCTTGCAGATAGTTTTGGGGAGGTATCCATGACTGGCATCAACCCTCAATATTATTGATACATGAACAAATATTGCACTTGAGATGTTCTTGCCTCTTACAATTTTTTGTATGATATAAAGGTGTGGTACATGTTTCAACTGGCTTTTTGGTGCTGTGATTTACATGCTCAATCAATGGTAGTAGAGGGCAGATTTATACATGGCATATATATACAGAAATGACATATCTTTGAGGGATGGGAAAAGAACTGATGGTTTTGCACATTGATGTTGTATGAAATGCTATGTCAACTGAAGTAAATTGTCTTCTTGGGTTACATGTTCTCGTATTACAGGTTTGCTGCATTTCTCTGTACTTGTCCTCAGTGCCATGATTGAGCGTCCTAACCAGCTACAGAATCATTGATTTTCTTTGGCATTGTAATTTGTAAATATCTTTTGGAACAAAGTAGCTAGTTGTGTAATTTTCAAGATATGATGTTCTAATTGCTATTGTGCTTGATATGTTTTTTATTCAAACAAGGAAATATTAGATGTCATTATAATTCGTATCTCTGTAGGTTTTGAGGAGTCTTGAGTACATAACATCAATTTGTCAACTCAATAATGAGAGGATTGATAGTCGAGTATGGTATATAATTTAACTGTAGTGACTACATCAACCATTCCTTATACTTCTGGGTAATTGGAATACATTTGTGTTTAAGGTACTTTAAAAGTTATAAATTCAGTTTTCATTATGTATTGTAATTTCTTTAATTGTACTGCTTTGGAGGTAAACTTAGAACAACAGGTCTTTCTTTTTGTTTTCTCTTTTATGTAGGGAAACTGTTTACTTTGTAGTTTGATTGCATGAAAACTTAGTCTTAACACATTGTCTCCAAGAAAAATTTGTCAGAAGTAGCTAAGCAGTGGGTAAGAAGTAGTTACTGTTGCCAGTGTTAGGGGACGTCTGTGTACTGATATAAGGATATGCTGTTGAGTTGTGGGTGTTGTGTAGAAAATTTTTAATGTTCAAGTTTCTTGCTTGAATGTTTTCTGTGGTTTTGTTTGGATTTGTAATTGGTATTTTAAGCAATTGTTAAAATGTTTTATGGAAGCTTCTCAGACAGCCAAACTACTAAATTTAAAAGTACTTTTTAAATGTGTCGTTTGTACTTCATCTGTTTTAAAAATAGCGTGAATGTTTGAAATTTCTTGAGGTTTCAAGCTGAGATGTACTTTTGAAAGGTCATTCTCACAAGTATGGAATTAAGTTAATTATATGCTTTCTTGATTGGTAATGATTTGTAGATTAATTAGACATAGAATAGACTGGAATTCCTAGGAGTGAATGGAGTGTGAACTTGCAATGGCTTAGCAGTGGCTCTTGAATGCCACTGGGGAAGAATAGAAGTGAAAACTAAAATTTAAGAGATGTTTCAAAATTCTGAAATTTGACTCTTATTGCTTATTTTGGTCACAACTTTTTGGCATTTATTAATTCACCTTTAATTCTTCACATTTAGATACATCTTTTGGTGTAACTGTTCAATAAAATTTATTGCTTGTAACCTTTCAGAGATTTGAAAGGACACATTGCACCCATACAATTGGTGAAGTATAACTTCAGTAGAAACATTGTAATGTTGAGTCATTTTGCTTTGCATGTTCAAGTAGGATTGATTTGGTTTTTTTCAGTTATTTTTGGAGAATTGTGAATAAATACTTGGTTAGCAAGATTTTGTGCCCAGTAATAGGTTAATGTTGGTCAAGAGTAGACTTCTTAAAATGCAGAATGGATGCTTAATCACATGTGAAAGAGAGGAAGCATCAGTTTATATTGATTTAATTATTGAATGCCTGCAATGGTACAAATTACAATTCAGAAAATGTTCTCATTTCTTTGAATAGCAAAAAAATATATGAAATTTTGAGTGTTTGGAAAGACAATGTGTACAGAAAATTCAAGACCCAGAACCTACAAAATTTTCCTTGTTTGAATAAAAATAAAGATTGAGAGTATTGGTTTCTGCATTATTTAATCATGCATATGCACATTGCACAAAATTTGAATTTCAAATGCCATGCAATACATTGTCTTTGAATGTGCATTTTGAGGGGTTTTGTTAATGCATTTAGTGTTAGTATAAATTTCTTGATGTACCTTGTGCTAGTGATTTTACTTGAGTTGCAATTATGTGAATGTTTTATTAGTGATTTTATGAATTGTCTGAAAATTGAAGAAATTTAATTGGTAACAATTGTTAAATATAATTGTTGTTCAGGAATGGTCTAAAAGTTTTTAAATCCTTCGAATCAATAAAGATTGAATTGTGTAGAACAACTTGCCAGGAAGTAATAGTTATTTTTTTCCAGTTTTTTGTCAGGGTAAGTAGTGTGACAGTGTGTGGAATGTTTTAGTTATACTTTGTTAATGTTCATTCTTCATAGTTGTCATCCATTTTTTCCACGTAGTTGTGTTTTGATAGGGTTTGTGTTGCATTAATTTTTAGATTTGTATAAATCTGCCCTTTCTGCCAACATACAGCCTTTAAATGTATTGCTTGCTGGTCAATATCAGAGTTATCTTTAAAAATTTATTTCAAAACAATTTTCTTGAAAGTGAATAATAATGGGGCATTTGAGTTTAAATAGTGGTAGTAGTAAGTTACACATGGAAATGCAGAGACATTTTTGAACAATCTTACCTGATCTTGGAATCACAGGGGAGATACAGATCTTCCCCTTGAAGGTCAATCTTGATTTTCCACAATTTTGAATACCATTATTTACATCTGGACGCCTCATGTAAAGTGTTTGAGAAGGGCATTCCTGAGGACTGATATTGACTGGCAATTTCATCTTAATTCTGCAATTTTCTTTGCTTTCTTGTTTAATTATTTCGCCCAATGTTAATGAATTCAATATTGATGCTGCTTGATATGGTTTGCACTTGGAATCTGTTAGAGTTGGTTGCATTTATTTGAAAACCTCTTGCTTTTCTTTCCTTTTATAATTTTTACTGTGGAAATCCATGCTTACAAATCATTTGTAGCTTTGGTTCATGCATGAGACTTCAGTGCATGTCTTTCATTTATTGAGGTGAGTAATTGGTTCAATATGTGACCAATGTTTTTGTGCTTCTGCTTTCACTCTTCAGGTGTGTTAAATTTTATGAGCTAGTGGACGAGTGTGTGTTAATGAAGTGACTAAAAGTGCTATTTGAAATCAGCTTTTTCAACCTAACTTCGTTATTTCAGCGGTGTGGGAAGGGTTTCTGAATTTGTTGTGCATTCAGTAGAGGCAAAGTTAAAAAAAGCTACAAAATAAAATCCGTTTATATTAATGCATGAATAAAATTGAAGCCTGATGCTCTGGAAGCATCAATATTGAATTCATCTGCATAGGCTTACCTAACCTGAGTTTTTCGTTATTTAGCATAGTATTGTTATCCAACATTATCATGTAGATGTTTTCGTATTTTCATGTTATTTGCCAGTGGTTTTGGTTATCAGCATACTACCGTGTTTGAACCTGTTTTTTACCAAATGTTGTGTTCAATTTCTTGATTTACTTCTGTCATAGATTCACCGAACTTGCAACGTCACTTCGCTCCACTCCACTTCCCATACTTCTACGAGGTTGCATTGCATGTATAATCTGTGTTTTGGGATGTAGTCTGTTCACTGCTCATATTTATATGTTTATTTACTGGCAATGAACGTGTTAAATGGGATACATGAACACAGGTGACACAAAGCTTTGCTTTTTCAGGTCCAAGGAGTCACTTGGCCCAGATGATACAATGTTTTGTGTTATTTTTTTTTATAATTTTTTTTTTTTTTTTTTTACATGTTCCCTGTTCACTAGGGAACCTGCACATTTAGGTGCTACATGAATTATTTTTCATAGCTATAAATGTGCTGTGTAGTTTTGTTTTGTTTGTATTTAATTTCCCCTCCCCTTGTTAGCAGACTAAGGTTTGGTGCTAGAGATGCCAAGCTTCTCTTGCTGGCATTAGTAAATCATATTTATATTTACTTATGATGCTGCATTTTAGTAATGTTAAATGCTGGTAACATTATAAAATGGGTATTTTGTGACAGTTGTTTGTTTCTGGATTGTCTTTTCTTGTATTTTATTGAAATTTCAGAAGAAAATTTTGAATCTTATGCAAATTTCATATGTATAGATGATTGCATTAGAATTTCAATTTTTGTAGTGTACATTTTCGTATTTGAAGGGTTTCATGTGTATCATCCGTATGCTTTATTGCCATGTATCTTAAAGTTTGTTCTTAGAATTATTTGTAAATGTGTTAAAAAAACAGTAATGTCAGGTCCATTGCCAGTGATGAATGATTTGGCGAAATAGTGACACTTGCACTTGTGTCACTCTGCCATAAATTTTGCCTTTGGCGTTTATTGCTTTCTCTTCTTGCTAATGTTTCATCAGTTTCTTGCGATGTTCATCTGTACAATTCTGTTGGTTAGCCAATCATTAACCTCTATGACCTATAACATTTTGTCATGTTCATTGTGGCTTGTTTGTAATGATTGCCAGTCATGGTTGGGTCTCTTCAATTCTTAGTACTATATCATCAATAGTTTTGCATTTATGAGGGCACTGATGCACTGCGTGTGACCAATATGTTCACAAGGATTGATGAACACTACACTAAATGCCCCATACAGAGCAAGGGCATAAATGTTCAAGACTTCAAACCACCTCACGTAAGTTACATGATGTTTGAAAAATGATCAATATTGCTGCTTGCCCAGTGACATAATGTTTTCATATATCATGCCTTTTGAGTTAATGGGGATTATGTGCATTTTGGATTTAATATGCTTTTTTAAAATTGTTGAATGGATTTTAATTTGATAGTGCTGTTTAGTTTTTTTCCGCTGGTTGATTTGAGGGATTTTTGTTTGTTTTGCTACATGAATGTGATTGCAGGAAAGATAAAGGGAAGGAAAGATTAGGTGCTAAAATGCAGGATAAGAAGAGGATGCTGCCATTCATAATTGCATCAACACACCATTTTATTATATCCTGAATTGAGAAGTGAATCCACATTGTTTCTTTTAAATTATTTTTTTGTTCTTTGGAAGATCATGTGTGATAATTGTGAATATTGGGATGGAAGGGTGGGATTGTTTGGTATACCATAATTTGGTTTTATGAATATAAATGTAAAAATAGATTAAGAAATTAATAAATAAAATTCAGATTGATTTTCAGTGAATATGGTTTTTGTACTTTTGGTTTCAATGTTATCCCATGTATAAGTGAAAAACTAATTTGAGATTGAATTGAATTACCAACTGGCTCTGAGGGGCTTCAGTACTCGTTGAAGAGGCGGACTGATCATTAGAGCTTGCATCGCTTATAAGATGCCCGTCAAAATTGGCGCGTAAGGAGAGTAGCCCAGTGCTGCCCTCTATTGGAAAATTGGTTCATTTTCGCCATCTATGAACCAAGAAGGAAACTGCGAGAGTGGCGCTGGGCTACTTCCCTATTCGAAATTTCATTCCCTTGACAGTAGCCACGGTGCTTCCGTGGGAAACGGTCACGGTCGGATGTAACCGGTTAACATACGTGGGTGATGTCGCGTGATCTTGACGGTTCGGAAGTTTGTATGGTTTATTTGTAAGAGCGTTCTTGAAGAATATTGTGTCCGAAGTGAACAATATCGGGACATACAATGAAATATCTCATGCTGCTTACTTTTTTCATCACAATACTGGTTGTCTCCCAGCAGTTAATAATTATAGGTAAGTTGTATCAGAAATTTTTGGTATTACACTAACTCACTATTTTTAGGTAACGTGTGTAGGAGGAGGAGGATCAATTCAATTTATAGCTTTAAATTATCCTACAAAATATGGTATCTTAAGTAAATAGACATTCTCTGAAACTAATATTTTTTGGTAATAAAGTAATAAATAACAAGTTTTTATTTAGTCTGGACTAATTATAGGGAAGCCACCTATTCCAGGGCTTCTTTAGGACAATTTGTTCAGGATTTATTAAGGTAATATTGTACGCGAAACCTGAGCACAATTACAAGATAGAACTTGTGCTATGGTGTATCCCGAAGACTGACACCTGTTGAGAAGTCCTGCTCCGTTCCCTGAAACCGCATGGCCGTCGTGAATTTCATGTTGCAAGGCTTCGTAGTTCGTTCCCACAATTACAATCCCGAGATTTCAGAGTTTATTCAGATTGGTTGTAGGTAGAATTCTAGTTCTCGTGAAATATCTCATGCTGCTTACTTTTTTCATCACAATACTGGTTGTCTCCTAGCAGTTAATAATTATAGGTAAGTTGTATCAGAAATTTTTGGCATTACACTAACTCACTATTTTTAGGTAACGTGTGTAGGAGGAGGATCAATTTAGATCAATTTAGTCGGCATTGGAGAGTTGCAAAGTACGTATTGGTGATTTTTTTCCCTTGAACATATGGTTTATTTTAAAGAACTTATTGATTTCGCATTTTCTAAACCATTCAGCCTTATGCCGACAAATACTGTTGCGAAGAAAGATTTTCAGAACATTTAAATTTTGCATTTTATCTCAAATAAAATATAGGGAAACTGAACTGTTCTCCAGTGCTCGAAATGCTCACATTTTCCAGCAGGTTAGGTACGTTATCACTTTCATAACGTCTACCTCAGAATTGTTTGGTGGGATGAGATCAGCGGAACTGAAGCCTATTTCTTGGGACGTGTTGCTGTTGAAAATGAGAATAAAGGAGAACCGGTGTAAGGGTTGGATGATGCGAAACAGATCGCGGTTGATGTTCTAAAGCCTTGCTCTAAAGTAGAGGGATTCTGCAGTCTCGCGCGATGTCGCGGTCATTGGAAATGCTTTCTATCACTAGCGAGGAAGGCATCGCGATGTGGATCTGAGTCGAACGAGAGCAGTTTTCTTCTCCCCTAAATATGTCAATCACTGCGAACGATGGATTTAAATGCAATAACTAATAAATTGTTCAAAAATGTAGTTTGTTTTGAGACTCGTACGAACACAATTTTAATTGCCCATTTCAAGGTTTGCCTCTTCCTGCTCGGAATGTTTGCCAGCCATTGTAATGGACATGTTCGAGAGACATCGATTTTTTTCAAATCTAATTGTTGAACAGGGACATGGAACCATTGGGGTTTTGTTGTATTTAACGCCAAAAAGTTTGGAAACTGTCGTTCTATGGGAGGAATGTATTCTGTGAGGTTTCTTAAATTCTGGGATCCCTACTTCTGTATTTCTGAATAAAAATGGAAACTAGTTCGACTATTAATGAGAATTTGGGGAATTTTCTGAAGTTCGAAATTTACGGAGCATTAGGATTACGAAGAACAAAGAGTATTTGGAGAATATTACAATACTATAGTATTTAATAATGGCTAGAGATGATTTTTATGCCGTAAATTTGAAATATGCTTTTAAAAATGTATATTTGAGCTACAAATTCTGAAATATGCTTTTTAATATGCAATTAAAATTAACAATAGTTCATTTCCTCTATAAATATTTCTTGATGAAATTTAGAAGCAAGTTTAGAACGAAAGTGGGTAGTTTTGTGCAAACATCAGTCTACCTTCGTGAAAAATAATTGAAGCAAATTCACTTTAGAAAAGTTAAATGTGTATTTTGTTGTATTTCTTGATAACTTTTTTATTCTATATTTGCAGAAGGATTTTATGTATAGGAAAAAAAGTGCCTATAATTACACGAATAATGCACCAACAGGAAAAATCAGCCAAATATGCAGTAAAATATTACTCTTATCAGCGCCGGTGTTCGAGATGTCAGGGCGGCAAAAATGAGTACTTATTTGAAACCGAATGAAACAAAAACCAAATTTGTAATGCGTATATCAAAGAGCGATACACTTTTAGCCATGCGAGTAGAAAACGTAGAAGAATAACCATAGATACAAAAAGTTTCATATTCACTAGTCACGGAATGAAGACTAGTTTATGGGGCGGGATTGTTCTGACCGTCCGTCCGTCCTTCCGACTGTGGTCAACGCTAGCGTCTAAATTGTTCTGACGGTTTTCTTGAAAACTTATATTCCCTCATCGATTTGGAGGTACTCGTGGCCCTGTGACTTTGAAACGAAAGTCTCTTTTTTGTACTACACGAGTCATCTTCGAAATTTTGTCAAAAAATCGTCGCTTTATTTTGTACGAAATGTCCTTGGATAGTAAACTCTCAAAACAATGTGCAGAAATAATTTTCGTTGAGGTTCCTGATATTTTGAGAATTGCCGAAGTTACTTTTTTTCGGCGACTTTTTACAACTATAGTAATGATTGGGATTTCCCTTAATAAAATATTGTTGAAAGACATCTTGAAATATGGTAAAGTACAATTTTCAGAAAAATGTAACTTTCGCGTAATTTTGCGCGAAATAAGAAATTTGATTGAAGTTACTGCAAAATAAAACAAAAACAATTTTTTACTTCCCATATACGTACGTATAAACGGTGTAATATATGTAGTATAGAGGAAGTTATGTAATGCTACGCGGATTTTCGTCAGAAAAAAATCTTTGCCGGGCCCTGATAACGAAAAACTGGATGAATCCAGTTCATAATCAAGACCAAGTCCTCTAATATGTGTAGCCGGAATCCTTGTTTTGTGGGTCCTTGATACCGAAAAATCAATTGACAACAAAACGTCCCGTTTGTCTGTGAACACAACTAGCGCCTAAACCATACTCGTACTAGGATTTTTTTCCTTGAAGGAAACCCCTGTCGATCTGGCTCAAGTCGACGCTTTGAGATTTTGAAAAATCATTAAAATATGGGGGTACTTCATATGAAGCCCCAAGAACATTTTCAAAATTTTCTCTACTCAGTTTTATCTTTAAATTTCTTTGAAAAAAGAGTAAAATACACCTATAAAGGTGGCGTAAGTCCGATTTTTCAGGGTTAACTCTGAATTTTCGAATATTTTTCGGCGTCTTCCTAAAACTACAAAATTGAAGGCAGAGATTTTTTTCTTCAATGAAATTTGTTCTCGTTATTTCAATGAGGTCATGTACATTTTTTCAAAATTTTAGAAGTTTGCGAGCTATATTGCCTTCATAATGTGCGATATTAAATACAAAACAAGATTTACTCAAAAATGGCTCCAAATTTTTTCTTTGAACTTTTGGTAAGAATAGTGCTTAATGTACGCCATGAGACATAAATGATACTTAACTCTCTTCTTTCGTTTTTCCAAACATTACAATGTTTTTTTGTTTTTCCCCGTTTTTTTGATTTCCCCGCCTCTCACGTTAATATTTATAACAGCGGCAATTTCTTTACCCTATTGCATTTGCGAGTTCTGAGATTTCTTTAAATGATATCTTATAAAGTTTCTCGAAATCTCAAAAAAAGTTCTGTGAAAACAAACTCAAATTTCCGCATCTTTTTCGTCTTGCTAGGACTTTGTCGCTAAATGTGAATGAAGCGCGTTACGCGCACGGTGTTGCCGAATTGCCCTCCCGATCCTCTAAAAGACGTCTGCCTTCGGGATAACTATAGCTGTTTGAAAAAAAGTAGTTTTTCCGTAATTTTTTCTTGAAATTAATGAAATATATGCTGGTTTCACAGCAACTATGGGCCACGAGAATAACAGAATGATATGCAAAATTATTTAGTTTAGTTTAATATTGGTACTTTCAATAGCGAATTATATTTTGTTTACTTTCTCGCTTTTGTACTTTTTGGGACACTTCACTGTGATCTATATAACGAACAAAATACCTTAGTTTTATATTCGTGCGCTTCGTTTGAGACAGTGTTCATGTATAAAAATGCAGTAATAAATTATCTTAATATTACATCGTAGAATATTAGTAATTTAATTAGTTTGTTAATAAGTTATTTATCAACTGTGTATGAGGTACTGTGACTAACAGTTAAACCAGTTGAAATTTGAATACAGATGGAAATGTGTTTTTGCAATGAATAGACATTGTTTGCCAAGCGAATGCACATAGTTTTGACAATGCTGCACTGATAAGTGTGTTCCTCGCTTCTTGTTTTATAAATACTTTCTGAATGTTGGAGAATAATTTATATCCCTGATAAAAATTACAGGATCATTTGAAAAGGTTTTATCATTCAAAATTTACCTTGAAATTCCTCCTCACCTGAAATGTAACATAAAATCTGAGAGAATTTAAACAAAACAGTGCTTGTAAAAATTGTTCAGTAATCTGTTTTAGGATCCTGAAATCGTATCTAATC